CCCCCCCGGCCCCTGCCCCCCCTCGGCCTCCTGTGGCCGCTAGAAGGATGCCACTCCTCGGCTCAGCAGGGACAGGAGCCAGAGCTGTCTGTGCAGGGGCCCCGCCCGCCCTCTGCAGAGCCCTGGCCCGGTCAGCCCTGCAGGCCCCTCTGGGCTGCTCGACCACCCAGGGCGCCCCGCCTGACCCCCCACTCTTCCCCGCTCAGCCGTCTGCCCCACCCGAGGTGGGGGCTTGGTCCTGCACGACCCTCAGCCCAGCCCCATGAAGTTCCCTGGACCGAGCCCTCCGGGACCTGTCGCGTTGGCGCTTGCCCGCAGTCTGGGCATGTCCCCGTGCCTTAGCGCGGCGCCGCGGGGGCAAACGGCCTGGTGTGCTCGCGGTCTGCTTCCCCCAAAGCTCCTGTTTGCGGATGAGGAGTGGTGGGGGGCCTGTGGGGACTCCGCAGATTCCCAGGAGGAGCCGGGACAGTGCCAGGAGCGCTGTGGCTCCGCTGCCAGCCTGCCGCTCACCTTCAGTGTCTTGTTCTTGCTCCTGGAGCAGGTGGGCGCCCCTGCTGTCACAGAGGCGGTCGGCCGAGCCCTGGAGCAGCAAGAGGGGCGCCGTCAGCCTGGGCATGGCGCGCTCCACCCGCGAGACAGCGTTCAGCAGCTGGGTCCCGAAGCACACCTTCAGGCCCGCCCGGCAGATAAGCGGGTCCGCGTCGTACAGCGCCACCTGTGGGGGGACGTCAGTGCAGCTGGTCCTGGCCATGACTCCCCCACCTCCTCACCAGGGTCAGGCTGGAGCAGCTCAGGCCTCCTGCCAGCGGCAGGGCCTCAGGCAGAGTCCCGAATCCCTGTGGAGGAGCAGGCTGTCCTCTGTCACCCTCTGCCCCCGGACTCCTTCCCATGCTGGGGACAGAGTGCCACAGACCAGCCACTTGTGAGAAGCCGCAAGGCTGACTGGCCACTTCCTGCACTGAGCGGGCGGGTCTCGTGGGCCAGCCATCCACTTGTAGCCGAGGGCACGGAAGCGGGTGAGAGCCCTGCCAGAGGGGACCATGCCCCCAAACGGCCTGGGTGTGGGCGGCGTGTCCCGACCCCATGGCGGCAGCACGTGGCAGACCCGGCGTGCTGCAGGGAGGCCTGAGCTCATTCCCTCCACGGCCACCTGTGCCTTTGTCCCACCCAGGGGGTGGGCGGGGCAGAGTGGTGGGTGGGACAAGGCTGGGATGGTCCCCAGGCCCTGTGCCCCCTTCTCCCACAGGAGCCAAAGGCCGAGCAGGGTCCCCGGGCTGTGGCCCACCCCTCAGCCTGCTCACTGGCACACACGCTCGAAGGCTGGGCAGCAGGGCTTGGTTCTTCCACACGGGCCCGGCGTGTCCCCACTGTCGCCTGGCCCCGGGCCCTGACCACCGGGATGAAGACTCCCTTGCAGCTCTCTGCAGCACGTGAGCAGCCCACAAGGAGGGGGGGCCTCTCCCCGCCCGCAACCACGGCTGTCTGAGGTCGGCCACAGTGGGTTCGTGCACCGGCGGCAGCGCTTCCTCCTCCCTCCACCCTGCCCTCTTAGCCCTCCTCCAGGGCCCCGGGCCCCACCCACTGCGAGGCCTTGGCCACAGCTGCACTGTCTTCCTGCCACTCCTTCCCGAAGGGGACCTGACGCTGACCCGAGGTCCCCGCCCCAAGGGAGCCTGTCCCTGGGACTTCCTGTTCCTGGTTCCACCCCCACCCCTGTCTTGGTCATAGGCCGTTTACTGCTCCAGCCCCAGGGACCAACAGCCACAGGAGTCGGGGAAAGGGCGGGCCTGACGTGACCCCGCGGCTGGGCTGGAGATGAGGGGCAGAGGGTACCGGGCCGGGAGACAGCCATCCCGCATGGGAGGCAGGGCTCAGGGGTAAGGCCCTCGCAGGGTGGTTCCGGCCCAGTCACAGTAGCCTGGTCCTCAGAGCTGGGGGCGCAAGCTCACCGAAGTCCCTCTAAGAAGGGGTGGCCAGGCCGCTCCCCCAGACCCAGTCCAGAACCCCGAGCAGCACATGAGCCCTCCGAAACCAAAGACCACATTGTTCCCTCAAGACCCTCACTGACTCCATGTCTGCCATGCTCAGAGACAGGACTGAAGAGCTGGGGAGACAGGGAGGTGAGAGATACAGAGCGGCCTGGGGCTGAGCACTGGGGCGGGGACCGGGACAGGTTGCAGCGAAGGTGACCTGAGGGTCCCGGGGGACAGAGTGGCTGGATGTCAGCCTGGGTGGGATTAGCCTGTGGGCGTTTTTGTGTGTTTTGTCTGTTTAGGTTTCTTGTAGGCATGTGCTCTCACTGGAGAGAGAGAGTGAGCAACTGCCCCGTAAGGGGATGGCCATGCCATAACCCCTTCTTCTCCCTTCTCCTCTTGGGATTCTGGGCATGCACGCACACGTGATTTTCAAGCTGCTGGGTCCAGGACTCTAATTGTGGTCAGCCATGTGGAAATCTAGCTCTTTACCACCACGCCCCCTGCTGGCCCCCGGCCTGTGTTTTACACATGTCTTTTAAAGCCTGGTTCGTTCTTTTATGGCGTGAGAGACTGACAAGCACCCTAGCGGGGTCTCGATCCCCCCAGCCTCCCAGCCAGCCAGGATCTCGGGTGTACGCCAGGAGTCGGCACAGAAACGTGGTCTGCAGTGTGCACGGCACTGCACTGTCCTTACAGCGGCGCGGGGAATAAAGAGCTGAGTTTGAAACCGCAGGCCGGGACTCAGCGGGAGACCTGCCACTCACAGGGCCGGCCACGGAGGGTGGTTCCAGGCTCACCCCCAGAGGCTTCCCTGAGGCTGGGTGGGTGCCGGCTCCCTGCCTGTTGGCACCTTGCTCATGGAGATAAAGGGCGTCCGACTGAACATAGAGGGCAGGACAGCCTCCGCACAGCCTCGCACACTCCTCCTGGTGTGTCAGCCCCTGCCACCACCGCCGAGACCGGCGCCTGTGGGATGTGCCAGCTGGAAGCGGGGTCCTGGCAGTGGGCCAGGTCATGTGGTCAGACTGGCATCTGGGAGCTGGCAGCCGGCCTTGATGTCCCTGTCCTTGGGGTGAGGCGTGCTCTCCCAGTGGCGCCCTGGCCCGTGTGTCCTGAGTGGCTGGGACACACCACCTGGGCTTCCACACCGGGGATGGGCCTCTGGGAGGGCTGTGCCAGGCCGGCAAGCGCAGCTGTCTTGGGCTTTCATCTGGAAACCAGGCATAGCCCTGCAGCCCAGCCTCTCGCCTGCTCTAAATCCGTCCGCGAGGGGTCCGTGGTCCAGAGGTTGGGGTGGGGAGAGGGGCAGCAGAAAGCACCTCCATGGGCAGGGCTGCAACGCTTCTGCTCCACATCTCCAACCTGTGGGATCTGGGCATGTACACACCCTGCACACACGTGCACACCTAGCACACACATGCACACAAGCTGCACATACACATGCACACATGCACACATACACCCTGCACACGTGTGCACACCTAGCGCACACGCACACACAACCCGCACAAACATGCACACATCTTGCACATATGTGTACAGCATGCACACACGTGTACACACATAGCACACACATACACACATATGCACACAACCTGCACACATATGCGTGCACGTACACATCCTGCATACATGTACACCTATGCACATGTGTGTACACCATGCACGCACACGTACACACCTAGCACACACATACACACATGTGCACACGACCTGCACATGTATGCGTACACGCACACATCCTGCATACACACACCTATGCACATGTGTGTACACCATGCACGCACACGTACACACCTAGCACACACATACACACATGTGCACACAACCTGCACACGTATGCATACACGCACACATCCTGCATACATGTACACCTATGCACATGTGTGTACACCATGCACGCACATGTACACACCTAGCACACACGCACACATATACACACATGTGCACACAACCTGCACATATGCATGCACGCACGCACGCACACCCCACATGTTTTTCCAGTCCCCAGGTCATAGTCAGCCAATTAGGATCGAGCTCCCTTAGCCACCAGGCCACGGGCTTAGGGCTGCATTTTTTTTTTCAGACTTTTGCTCTAGGGCACGTGCGCTCACTGGAGAGACACACAAAGACAGGAAATGAGGAGTCACCCCGGGGATGGCTGCGCTGTAGTCCCACTCTCCTCCTGGGATTTTGGGCACGCACTGCACACGCCTGGCCTGAGTTTCAAACCTTCGGCTCTGGGACTTGAACTGGGGTCGGCCACGTGGGAGTCCAGCACCGTAACCATTACACCATCTGCTGGTCCCAGCACCGCATCTTTTAAAGCTTGTTTACTTATTTCTTCATGAATAGGAGAGTGAGTCACACAGTGACCCTGACAGGGCCCCGAGCCACGGTCCGCTTCCGCACGGCAAAGGCCGGACTGCCAGGATGAGGAAGGAGTGGTCGCCAGCCATGCTCCTGGGGCATCCAGGGCACACCAGGGCCTACAGCGGGCCTACAGCGGGCCGGGCACGGGTGGCTCACAGCTCTGCCGTGGGCCACACAAGTGGGTCCCAGGTGGTGTCCCGGCACCAGCACTGTGCATCTGGGGCCTGGGCTGGCGAGGCTGAGATGCGTCACGGCAGAGACCTCCTAGGGTGTCCCTTGCTGTGTCTCTTGTGCACGGAAGACAGAGACTCTTCAATAAAAATGGCTACAGGGCGTGGACAGACGTTTCTGTAAAGGGGATGACTGCCCACCGAGGCCACGAAGACACACGTGGCGTCACATCGCCAGGACCGCCGCCACGGAAAGGAGTCACACGTGTCGGCAGATCTGGGGGTGGGACGTGCCCGCACTGCCGCCGGGCGAGGTAGACGTGCCACAGAGGGGCACACGGACCCTCACAGGGGGCACAGAGCACCGCTGTGACCCCTTCACACCTGGGTGTCTCCCCTGCTCAGAGCTGCCTCCCCCTGCTCACAGCATCCTTCCTCCCCCTGCTCACAGCCGCCTCCCCCTGCTCCCAGCCTCCTTCCTCCCCCTGCTCACAGCCGCCTCCCCCTGCTCCCAGCCTCCTTCCTCCCCCTGCTCACAGCCGCCTCCCCCTGCTCCCAGCCTCCTTCCTCCCCCTGCTCACAGCCGCCTCCCCCTGCTCCCAGCCTCCTTCCTCCCCCTGCTCACAGCCGCCTCCCCCTGCTCCCAGCCTCCTTCCTCCCCCTGCTCACAGCCGCCTCCCCCTGCTCCCAGCCTCCTTCCTCCCCCTGCTCACAGCCGCCTCCCCCTGCTCCCAGCCTCCTTCCTCCCCCTGCTCACAGCCGCCTCCCCCTGCTCCCAGCCTCCTTCCTCCCCCTGCTCACAGCCGCCTCCCCCTGCTCCCAGCCTCCTTCCTCCCCCTGCTCACAGCCGCCTCCCCCTGCTCCCAGCCTCCTTCCTCCCCCTGCTCACAGCCGCCTCCCCCTGCTCCCAGCCTCCTTCCTCCCCCTGCTCACAGCCGCCTCCCCCTGCTCCCAGCCTCCTTCCTCCCCCTGCTCACAGCCGCCTCCCCCTGCTCCCAGCCTCCTTCCTCCCCCTGCTCACAGCCGCCTCCCCCTGCTCCCAGCCTCCTTCCTCCCCCTGCTCACAGCCGCCTCCCCCTGCTCCCAGCCTCCTTCCTCCCCCTGCTCACAGCCTCCTTCCTCCCCTGCTCACAGCCACCTCCCCCTGCCTGCTCACAGCTGCCGCACCCGGTGGTGGTGGGAAGGAGGTGTTGGGTGCAGGACCAGCACAGGCCTGGTGTGCTCCAGAGCTCCGTGAACCTGCGCGCACCCTGCCGGTCCAAACACCCTGGGTTTTTGCGGATTTGTTTTTAGACTGTTGGACTTTTAGCTGCCCCAGACAAGCACTCGTGGGAAGTGGGGTGCTGGACACTGACAGACTGCAATCTGCTCTCCAGGCCCAGCTTTCCAGGAAGCCAGGCCCCGGGTCCAGAAGCGGCCTTCCCGGGCGGCTGTCCGGAGAGCGGGGGCGGGCGCCCTGCAGCCAAGGCCCCGCAGTCTGAGGCCTCAGCGCAGCTGAGCACTTCCAGACCGATGGACGCTTTCCGAGGACCCGCAGGCAGCATGGGGGCGCGCTGGGAGTGGGGACTCAGGCACTGCTCCTGGGGGGAAGCTGGTGCCAGCCGGAGGAGGGGAGGAAGCCCAGGCAGCGTGCTTGCAGCTCCCAGGCCGGAACGCACCATATGGCGTGCGTGTGGGTACGGCCCGCAGGGTGCCCTGGACCGTGGCCAGGGTATTTATAGCACAGGGACACTGAGGCGGGGAGGCAGACTGCTCGGTGCAGACACGGCCTGCCTGTGGGAGAGGGGGTCGGGCCCCCCTCCCCCCTCCGCCCCCCCAGACCGAGTGACAGGGCGGCTCTCGGCAGGGGTGGCACAAGGATGGGGTCAGCACCCCCTGCCACTGCCCCCCATGTCCTGGGCCCCAGAACCACCCTCAAGGCTTTGGGGCGGAAGGAGCTCTCCCATTTCAAGATCCCGTGCTGGGGCTGAGGGTTAAGGTGGGCGTCCCCCGAGGGCTCCAGGGCCCTCCACGTGCGGCCGGAGGAAGGGAGCCGCGGCTCTGTTCCGGGTCTTCCCTTTTGCGGACTTCCGGAGACCCGGAGTGGGTGCCGCTAAGGGCCGAGGGCCGAGTCCGGAGCCACCCGTATCTAACACTCACACCTGGACCTAGCCAGCCCGAGAAGCCTGGGGCGTGCATGCCGGTGTGCGGGGAGCGGCCGTGTGCCCTAACACTCACACGCGCACCTCGGGGTGGCATCCTGGGAGCGCCCCTGTGTCCGCAGAGTTGAAAATGCTGACATTTGATGGTTTTAAACACAGGCTCAGGACTAGCCCCTTCCCTCTCTGTCTGTGGGGTCTCGGGGGCTCGCGTAAACAGCATGGGTGTCGAGGGGAGGCCTCCTTCTCCCTCTCCCTCCGCCCACTGGGGTTCCAGCCCAGCTACTGCAGGGCTGGCTGGTCTTCCTGGAGGTGACACATCCCACAGGACTGCCTGCCTGCCCCAGGCCTTCCCAGACTGGCCACTACCCGTAGCCATGGGCTGGTGACCAGAGGGACAGGGAGAGGCACTTGCTGACCTCGGCGCCAACACCAGCTGGAAGGGGCCCACTCAGCGCTCACCGGCTGTGCTGCCGTGGACGTCACTAACCTCTCTGGGCCGCCTTTCCCTCATCCGGGCGACGGTGCACGCTGGTCTCCCCGTGTCGGGCTTAGACGGACAGCACTCACCCGGCCCAGCGCTCTGGCCCTGGGCTCTGCCCGGGTCGCGCCCGCCTTGCGAAGCTAACTTCTCCTTATTCCGGTGTTCTTTTGGAAAGACCAGGGGCCATTCCCTGGTCCCTGTGGAGTTGGACTTGGCCCCAAAATGTGGGCTTGGCGGCTCTAGGGGCTTTTAAGTCAAATCACGTTAAAACAGCAAGTGTGTGTGCACGGCCGTGCAAATTCGCTACAGAGTGTGTGCACTTGCTGGAGAGAGAGGAGAGTGTGAGAGACGGAGGCACCGGGGGGCGGCGGCGCCATGCCCTCCTCCCCGCCCTCTCCTCCCAGGACTGGGCAGGCACGTGAGCTGGTCAGGGCCTCGGGCTGCACAGAGGTCTGTGGGTCCAGTGGCATAACCACGCCATGGCTGGAGACTCTGGAGTCTCTCGTGCATGGAGGGTCCTGCTCACTGAGGGCTCACGCTCCACGTGGCCCAGTTCCACCACGAAGCTGGAGGCCAGCTGCCCCAGGAAGGCCGAAGGGAGGTGGCCACGGCCCACACCACACCCAGCCCTCTCCTGGGCCCTCGAGCTGCGAGGGCAAGGGGAGACTGAGGCGGGCAGTGGATGGGGCTTCCCGGCTCTTCCAGATGCCCATGGTCAGTCCCCGCCAGCCCTTGGGCGGCCCAGCAGGGGTGAGGCACCCTCCTCCATGCCGTCCCGCCCCTCTCCTGGACAATCGGTAAGAGCCAGCCCTTGGGGGCTGCATGGAGGCTCCGCCATGGAACATGACACCCTGGGACGCGGATCCACATGGGAAGGTCATGGGTCTGCACCTGGGCCCTGCCTGAGTACTGGCCGAGGGCTTGCCCACAACTGGCCGGGTGTGCGTCAGGGGCTGTGGGCACTGCCTTTCTCTGACCATCTCTCTCACTTCTGGGAGAATAAAACACATTTTAAACAAAAGAAAGAGAGGGCCTGTTGGTGGCATGGTGGTTAAGGTGGCTGGATCCTACACGGCTGATTGCATGGCTCAAGTCCCGGACCCAGTGGTTTGGAAAATACACCAGGTGAGTGTGCGTGTACATGTGTACGTGCGTGCCCAAAGTTCCAAGAGGAGAACAGAGGAGAAGGGACTGTGGTGTTGCCCCGGAGTGATTTCCCACTTTCCCTCTGTCTCTCTCTCTCTGTCTCTGGTGAGAACCAAGACTCCTGCTAGAAAGAGGTGTTCTCTTCCCACTATGGCTGCTCAGGAGAAGGGGCTATGGCTTCCAGGCCTCCAGCCTGTCTGGAAATGAAACCAAACCGAGGGAGAGGAGGCTGGAACCAGCTGTGCCTGAACCCTTCCATCATCTCACCAGAACCTCCCTGTGCTTCGACCCCACTGACTCGCGTGTCCGTCCCTGGATGGTGCACGCGACCTGCTCTGGTTAGGGGCTCTGATGGCAGGACATACCTCGGGCACCTCGACACCCCTCCTGTCCCATCTGACCCTGAAGTCGGTGGCCACTCATGCTCCTTCCTGTCCCTAGCACCTTGTACCAGGCCTGGTAACCGGGCGGCGGGCACTAGGACAGAACTGGAGCTCGGTTTCCCTGGGGGGCTGCTACCCTCACCCCTTGGCCCCGGGTTCCCAGACTCACCTCCGTCTTATTCCGAGAGAGTACACTGGAGTCGATGGGCCCCAGGGATAGGTTCGGCAGGATGAGGTTGAGCACTCTGGCAGCCAGGACCTGGCGGGGAACGAGAGGTGAGCACGGCGGGGCCACGCGGGCCTCCCCGCCCCGCCACCCAAAC